CTCAGCATCTGTCTGGATGGCAGGTACATCTGCCCAACTTTTTTGATTCCACACTATCTTTTGGTACTAGGGTTTAGGAGCACTAAAGCCTTGTCTTGTTTTTTTGTTTGTTTGTTTGTTTGTTTTAAATGCTGCATGGCTTCTTTTCAAAGTAAAGCTTTAAAACACCTTTGCTTTTCAGATATGTTCATGAACATATCAGCAATAGACTGCCTACATTCGCTTATGCGTGTGTGAGATTGAGAGGGAGAGAGAATTTCACTGTATAGTCCTAGCTGGCTGGAACCCACCTTGTGCTTACGTGTGGAAGCAGAGCAGTGGTCCTACCTTGGAGTCTGAGACTGCTGCCCTTCGGCCTCACTTTCAGTTTGCCCATGCAGTTGCTTCCTTCTGTGTGCTCTGATATTACTCTCTGGCTCTCTGAGGTGTGCTCTCAGAGATGACGTTAGAGTCTCTGACAGGAAAATTCTATTTAGCATTTTATTTTTCTTTATGCCAGAGGTTTTTTTTCTGGACATAAAATTAAAAGTAGACTGTTGGGCTGAAGAGATGGCTCAGTCGTTGAGTGCTCACTGCTCTCCCAGAGGAGCCAGGTTAGGTTCCCAGCCCCTATGTGGCAGCTCACAACCCCATGTACCTCCAGTACCAGGGGAAGCTAACACCCTCTTCCGGCCTCCACGGGCTCCTGCATGTATGATACACATAAACTCATTCAGGCTTATGCTCACTCACGTAAAAATAACTTTTTAAAAGTTGACTGAAGTAGAAGCTTCTGGTTTCTTTGGAAACTCAGATGTGTCATGTGAATATGTTTTTGTTGTTGTTTTTGTTTTGGTCCCAAGTGTGGGCTGTGGGAATGCTTTTCCCCTTTGGAAAACAGCTCCCAGGAGGGGGCGAGTCATGTTGGTCGGCTGAAAGCGTTCTCAGGGATGTGTTTTTTGTGAGCTGGAAAACACCCTCCTGTGGACTTTGAGAAGGTTAGTTGAAGCCCACAGACACTGAGACAATGCTTTCTGCATCTCTATGCTCTTCCATTGTCACAGTTTGCATCCTTCGATGGTCTCTGCAGAGAGAAACGCTCCAGACAACTGCTCAGGCTGTTTTGGCGGAGTTTTGTGCTTCAGCAGCCTTGTGCCACTTGGGCAGAGTCTGACCGCTTCTACTTTATCGTTCCCCTTCTGCTGACACGTGTTGCTGCTGTTGCTTTGCTAGACTGCTGGTGTCCTGATGGCTGAGTTTGGTAATTCCCAAAAAACCCATCGACCCTTATCAGCAAGAAGCAGAAAAAAAGAGGTCTACAGCCCCCTTCCCCACTAATCTCCTACCTAAGGTCAGGAGGTTGGAAGGAAGGTAAAGAATTTAAGAACTTTAAGTAAAGTAGGGGTTTGAAATATCTAAGCCTACAGTTGACTGTCATGCTAGGTGTAGCACACCTGTGATGCTAGTGTCTGGAAGGCTGAGGCACAAGGATTATAAATAAATTCAAGGCCAACCTGGGCTTGAGCACCTGTCTCAAAAGACCAAAATAAAAGAATAAGACAATGTCATTTCTTGTCAGCATGTATGAGCTACCCTCCTCAGTAATGAGCTTCTGCAGCAATTGATAAGGTGTCTGTGCTGTCTCTGCCTCAGAATGTCTCAGATCCTCCTCCCTGGCACTCTGCACTTCCACCATGATGATGCTCAACAGATGATCCTTCTGTTTATTCTGCTTGGGTCCTACCTACAAACTTTTTTTTTTTTTTTAAGGCAGGTTTTCTTTGTGTGGCACAGGCTGTCCTGAAACTGTCCTGAAACCAAGCTGGCCTTGAACTCAGAGATCCACCTGCCTCTGCCTCCTGAGTGCTGGGATCAACTGTCTGGTCACTGGCCCTACAGATACTTAAACTACTGCACATGATAGCCAGCCTCCAGAACGGTAGTACCCAGTGACAATCAGCTCCTGGCAGTGTTATTACCCCCAACTCCCTCTCTCTCACACTGGTGTAACTGCCACAAAAACAAATATATATACATACATATACATATATTCTCCCAGGGCAGAATATAAAAGTCTTAGCAGCTTCCCCATGCCCCCTTTCTACTCACTCACTGGGGGAAGCCAGTGCCTAGCTGCCTACCTGTGTGAGGCTAGTTGGCTCTCTTAAGGAGACCTCCACCCAAGAGGGATCCTGTGTTAAGTGTCTAGAGCCTCCCAACAACTTCTCTTCACTCCCCACCACTGACTTAACCCTATAGATGCTAGCTACTGTGCAAGCAGCTTCCATCCTCCCCTCTCTTTTCAGACGACTGCAGTTGACCAAACCCTTGACTCTGACCCCCTGAACCCAAACCAGAGCCACCCAAGCAAAGCACCTGCAGGCATGGTGGTACACAGCCATAATTCCTGAACTCATGAAGTAGAGGCAGGAGGATCAGGAGTTCAAGGCTTTCACTGCCTCAAATAGCAAGTTCAAAGCCTGCCTGGGCTACATGAGACCTTGTTTCAAAACCAATGCCCCACCATCACCCAAATAGCAGTACCACTTAATTATTTCTGGGCAAATGAGCAGGTTTAAAACATATGTGCATCCAGTAACAAGATCTGGTATTACAGGAGACCTTGCTGTTATCTGGCCAAACTTTCAGTGTTCATCATAGAAGGCAACAAATAATCTGAAAGACCTCATAATTTCTATTGCCAAAGTGAATGGAAACTTTTCCTATTTCCGGTTTGGTGTGTTGAAACAAGTAAGTTACAACAGTCATATAACCACCTTCCTCTTTTAGTTTTCAGTTATTTTTGTGGATTTCCTAGGCTGATATCACATTGCTCCAATAGCAAACATTTTCTTCCTATCTAGCTATTTAAGCTCCTTTTTTTTTTTTTCTTTTTTGTTTTGAGACAGGGTTTCTCTGTGTAGCCTTCGCTGTCCTGGACATTTTTGTAGACCAGGCTGTCCTTGAACTGACAGATCTGCCTGCCCCTGCTTCCCACATGCTGGGAAGTTGTACACCATGCCTGGAGACATGTCTCATTTTTAGTGATGTGCTGAGCTATGTAATGGCTTGGCGAGAACCCATCTAATCTGACACTGCTCTCTGGGAAAGCAGTGGCTCTCTCCTACCATTCAAGTCCTTGTAGTTCTTTTGGGGAGGAGGTGGTTAAAGTTCCATCTCAAGCAGGTTTTGCATATTTCCTAAGTTTTTCTGCTGTCATGAAGAGTGAGGTCTATCTTCCCTTGCTGATCTTGTCTGCTCTTGTGGCTTCAGAGGCTACCTACTTCTGAACACAATACTGTAAGATTCCAGAAGACTCTTTTGGACTAACCAGGACAATCACAGGGTTTCCACATGAGGCTGGCTTTGCATGTCTGGGGCTCCTTGGCAGCTCACTCACAGTTTCAGGGTAGGCGGTTGAGGAGGGAGTCCCTCATGTGGTTCAGCTATCCACCACTAGCCTCCCGGCTGCTTCTCTCCAGTGCTCAGAGTAGGCTGGCCAGACTCAGAAAATACTGTCCAGTGGCTGAACTGGGTACCTAAGGACCCTCTGCTAGGAAGGTTTCTCCAACCCTTGCCTCAGGCCAAGGTCAATGCATTTTTTAAGAGACCCCGAGGTGGCTCTGTGGCTGAAGATAACCTGAAGAGAAAGTGACCCTAAGGGCTCAGGAAGGGGGAACAAAGGACTCCTGGCTAGCCAGGAGCTCTGTGGGAGGTATCTGAGATAGAGCCAGAGGAAGCACAATCCATGCCAAGGGAGCACCAAAGGAGAGAGCTGACAGGACAAGGTTAGGGAAGACAGCCTGTGCACTCTTCAAGGTCAGAGCCTGAGGACTGTGGAGGGAAGAGGCAGGGGAACTCCAAATAGGAGCCAAGATGTGGCAGACACTGAAGTGACTCTGTGTCCAAGCAGGATCCAAGTTCAGCCACAGGACTCTGGTTCTTCCCCCATTGCCTCACCAGTATAAAGTCCATGCATTTGTTTCTCCCTGAGCAAACCTTACCACAAGTGACACCTTAGTGTCTTTACACTCTAGAATGCCCCATATGAGATGCTGGTCTCATGAAAGTTGAAGCGTCTGCTGGTCAGCCGTGTAGAGTACTTGTCACCTTTGTAAGGACCTCAAAGTACTATGTCCTAGAGAACAAGCTGAGGAGGTCCAAAGTAGCCATGCAGGCAGTCTGGGACCCCACTCTTTTGTTGTTGTTGCTAGTTGTTTTTTTTTTTTTTTTTTTTTTTTCTGTTTTGTGTTTGAGACAGTATGTTGCTGCTTATCCTGGCCTTGAACTTGCAATACTCCCTCCTCAGTGCTGGGATTAGAAATGAGAACCACTACACTAAGCTTGGGAACTTACTTTTTTTACACATCACCTTTGACCTCAGCGTGTATACAAACAGACAAACATACACCTCAACAACTGGCTACATAACCAAAATACTAAGATCCACCAGTATGGGGTTTGGCACAGTCCTGGCTTTGAACTCTTTCTCTGTAGAAACTATACCACAGACAGTGTGGCACCTTCTGCTCAGGGAATGTCCTAGGGTCTTCTACCACTGGGCTGAACACAACTCAGTGCTTTCTGTCCAGTGATGACTGGTCAGGGTTGGCTTACTGTTTGAGTCTGTCACAAATACAGCTGCAATGCACACTTCAGTGATGGCTGGTACCTGTTCAGAGAGGACACTCCCCTACTCTGGGGACCTCATTCTCCCTCCCGCTTAGTGACACACTCTTGGCCATGTGTCGGGGACACTGGGGAGAGCTGAGATTGTTATGTGTGGCACCCTCTTCCTGACCTATGTTAATCCCTCCCTGGTGTCCACCAGAGGAAGCAAAAGGAGTGCCAGTCTACCCCCCAAGACTAGTCAGAGTGGTTGGAGAAAGCAAGCCCTGGAAAATGAACGTTTCTATCCCATTCAGTCCTCTCCTCTTGTCCCAGAGGCCCATTCTCCATGGCCCTCCCCAACCAGTCCACCTAAAAGTCTGGGTTTTTCAAAAGAGCCTCCTATTGCTTACCCAGTCTTGGGTCTCTAGGTCCTCCTGAGGGTTGCTCTTGCTGTCTGGCTGGCTGCAGGCCACTGAAGGCCCGTTTAAGATAGACTGTTGCCTTTGCTCTTGTGCGAGCTCCCATTGTAGCGTCTTCCTCTTGGGGGGCTGCTGCCTGCTGTCCATGTCTACCTACAGCAGGCTGCACTTTGCACATCTAGTTCTGGGGCAAGGTGCAAGAAGAAAACTGAGCAGGGCTCTGGCTGCCATGGCAGACCCCTGAAACAGATGGCAGGTTCTGCTAGGGCCACCTTTTGTCCAATGACCACTATCCCAAACAGCGGGGGGCCCTTAAGCGACTTTCTTTCCCAGCTTGTGGCCGCTGCCCTCCCACCACACCAGCGGTTTCCCGGGGGACAGCAATGGCCCAGAAGTAGATGGTGCCCTTCCCTGCTCTCACCGGACTGTTTGGTCAGCCTTTCCCAGCCTTGCCTCGCAGGAGTCACTTTGCGGTCCTGACAAGCGCCTCAATCCTAGGATCCCTCCCGCAGGCCACCTCCCCTCTGTTAACTTCAGCGATGCTGCCACACACAAGGCCCAGGCTCAGGGCCAGCCTGAGCTCTCATTCCCCGCCCCCACCCTCGGTGGGTCTCAACTGTGGAAGTCAGTTGACAGGCAGCGGTGAAGAGATGTGAGGAGTTGGGTCAACCGCTCCCACGCGGGGACGTAGCTCACTCAGGGGTTCTGGGGAGGGCTCAGTGGGCACCAGGACAGATGAGGCGGGCCTAATGGGCTCCGGTTAACAAATGCTCAACCGGTGGGGCCAGGCTCAGGAGGGTCTGCACCGCGAGTGGAGGGTCGCAGGCTGTGAGCGCCCAGTTGGGTTCAGGCAGATGGAGCTACCAGTTGAGGTAGACTCGTGGAACCTCCCGCGGGCCTGAAACAGCCGGGCTGGAGCCAAGCACAAAAACGCCAAGGAAGAAAGGCGGAGCCGATCTGGAGCTTCCGTTCTACAGACCCCGCCCTCCGCTGCTGCTTCCGCGCCACGACGCTTGCGCCCCAGCGTTCAAGCCTCATGGCCCCAACACATTGAGAGGAATCACAGCCGTGGGCGGCCTGAGCGCCGTCAGTTTATTAGTGTCGCTTCAGCACCTTGAAATCGTCCACATGGTCACATGGGACAGATCAGCATCTGCTCCCAAAAAAGCTATTTACATGAATCCTGCTTTCCATTAAAAAAAAAAAATCTAGCAACACATACACACATCCTAGAAATCAGTCACAGCGAGCTGGACAGTCTGCAGAAGCGGACGGAGTCATCCTCACGCAAGGCCGTCAGCCTCTGGAGGGCGTGGGGGTTTGGGGAGCAAGTGAGGGTCCAGGACCCTGGCCCTGGTAAGTACCACCAGGCCGGTTTTTATGCGGAATTAAATTTGAGATGGAGGCTAGAGGAAGAAGTGAGGCTTGCAGGATTAGGCTAGGGCAAGCCATTGCATGGGTGCCGAAGGCCATCCCCCCTCCCTCAGCTCTGGTACTGATACTGAGCTGCTACATACTCAGGGTGGTGGCAGGGTCTACCTTTAAGGTAGAGGAAGGGTCCCCAACGGACAGGAATGAGTGGAACCTATCCATCCACACAGACTGTATGGCCAGGCCTAAGAGGAACCTGGTATTGTCTGACAGTGACCTTTAAGACTGGCAGGCTCTGAGGGCCATGCCTCAGAGCTAAGGCCTGTCAGATGCGCACACACACACGCGCGCACACACACACACACACACACACACACACACACACACACACACCCTGCTGTCCTCACCACTGTACTGCCTGTGGGGGGTGGGGGCGCTTTGGTGTCTAGTCATCCTTCAAAGGGTCAAAGTGCTTCTCCATGAATCCTCATTACAGCTCCATGAGGTAGGCAAGGAAAATGGACCATCTCTTTAACCAGTGGGGGAACTGAGGCACAGAGGATGACTGCTGTCTAGGTCTACACCTTGCACTGCTATGGTGCTCATGTGCTAGGCCTCCCAACTCTACCTTAGACCAGCTGCTGGAGAAAAGCTCTGCTCACGCCCTCCTCTTGTGTAGGTGAAGGCAGACCTCTGGAACTAATCAAGGAAGCATGCACAGGTGAAGAGTTCTCCTGGAAAGGAGCTACCCTCAGGCAGGAGCCTACACTCCCTGTGGCCTCAAGGCTAGAAATCTCAGCCAGATCTTTCCTACAAAGGTTGACCTTTGGGAAGAAACTCAAGGGGCAGGTGAATCAGGCTCTTAAGCTCCAAGAAGCACAGCAGCCAGACTTGTTAACAGGCTCTTTTCAGAGCATATCTCACCAGGGGCTCCACTGCCACCGTGCCCTCTACCCAGGGATCTAGGGCCCAGCCAGGCCCCAGCAGCAGTGCAGGGCCCTCACCCTGGACAAACAGACCCTGCTCAGCAAGCCAGGGCAGGGCAAGTAAATAAAAAATGGGCCATCTTTCACCCTATGAAAGGTGAGGAGTCCTCAAACTTAGCCTTCTCTGCTCTTGGCAATTTTCTGAGCATGCTCTTAGGAAGGTCTCAAGGTCAAGACACCAAACTTAGAGCTCCCAAATGGACCACCAGGATCTCTGAGAGTGCCACAGCTTCTAAGCAGGCAGGCAGGCACTCTTTCAATTAGCCAGCCCAGAGAGAAAAGATTCTTGAGGAAATTACAACTGAGGCAGTGACCTCCTCCAGAGTCTGATGATACATGTACAGTCAGGATGACCCTCACTACAGGCCAGCACCCATCTCCTGCTGGGTGGGAAGGTGGTGGTGGATGGAGCTGCCGACAAGAATGGCGGCACGCGCGCACACACACACACACACACACACACACACACACACACACACACGCACCCCCCCACACACACACTCTAGTTGCCCTTCTCCAGTTCTCAACCCAGACCCCACATGGCCAATCCTGGACAGCCCAGCAAGCAGAATAGAGGTGAAAGGGCATGGTAGAACAGGTCTCAGACAGACCCAGCAGTGTCTCCCACTTCCAGGACAGACTCTGGGAAATTCGAAAGGGCCACCTGATCTAAGCTGCAGGACCTGAAGAAGCCTATTGGTGCCTCTGGAGTGGGATTCAGAGGGGTAGGGTTGGGTAAGCAGCTCCTGCTGGCTCTGCCCCGCCCAAGGGTACTTTACAAGACCAACATCTGCTTGGCAGTTATGTCTCCAAATGTATTTGAGAGCATCAGAATGATCGGCTACGATAAAACCTCCGCCATGCGGCTGGAGTTTATTGGGAACCACACACGGGGTACCAAGGGCCGACATCCCATGCTAGGAGACCAACATGCCCTTGACCCTCAGCTTTTGGCCACTAAACTCCAAAGCTTGTACCCTGCTCCCTACTCCCTCAGGAAGCAGAATCCTGACCTCAGGAAAGGACAGGACACAAAGGTAAGAACACTTCTTGCTTGTGGTTCTGGGATTTCATGAGCCCAGAGTTCACCTCCCTTCTTATCAGCCTTTCCACCAGCCCACATATTCTGGTTAATAAGCAGAGCAAAGTTACTCAGTGGCCCACAGGAGGCTAGTGTCCCCTTATTTTCTGGGCTAAGAGCACATTCATACTTAAGACTGTTTCTTTGTGTTTTTAAAAGTCTGTCTCTGTAGTAACCACGTGTTAACAGAAACACAGCTGTCCCTCCATCCATGGCTGACAAAGAGCAGGACATAGGCCCCTCCACTGTCCTGTGACAGCCATTCCGTGGGTGGGGCTAGAAGGTGGCCTTGGAGTGTCCAAAGATGCAGATAGGGAAGTGCTTCACGTGGGAAGACCACTGGGCGGCCAGCTGGAAGAACTTGACATCGCTGCACTCCACGCCGTCGATGAGGACTGTGGGAGAGGGCCACCTGACCATCTGCCTGCCTGGCAAGGCAGCCACCTGAGATGGTGGGCCACTGCCAGGAAGCAGGACAATCCTGAAGCTGGGGAAGCCCTGCTTAATGGGCCCTTCCTGCCACCTGCCCTCCCAGGACTTAGTGCCATGGTGAGTCCACCTCCCAAGGGACTAGAGGCAAGGGCAATCTGAGCCATACTTCAGCCAGGCACAGCTCATTTATGCCACATCTGCCTCGAGGGCTCCTACTTAAAATAGCTGCACTTCCAGAGGTAGCGTTAGGAAGACAACCAAAGAGCAGCCTCTATAAGAGGTTGGTATAACACCAGTCTCACACCGAAGGAAGAGCTGAAACACAGCTCAATGACAGAGCATCTGCTTCGCATGCATGGGACCCTAGGTTCAATCTCTAGCGATCTCCTCCCAAATCTCCATTAATAAACACAAAAAAAGGTTGAAAAATTACTTGAACTTGAAAGGCTGTTAGATGCATGCAAATACCTTATCAAAATGTGCTCCAAGTGTGAATCTGTAAATATGCCTTTTACAGCAAAACAACTGGTTCCCATGCACCATCTGTTTTGTTCTGCATTCACATATTACAGGCAGATCCAAACAGATCTGGTCATGGAATGACTCCCCGGGGACCCTATGGAGCAGCCCCTTGGCCTATGCTCACCCCGAAGCATGTTCTGTTGGTGCTTAGCTGTGCAGATCAGCCGGCTGATGCCTTCAATGCACTGGCTTTTGGATTCCACATCCTTGTCCTTTGTTTTCTTGGGCAAAAACATCACTGGGAAGAGAAGAACTCTGCTGTTGATCCACTGCTCCTCCAGGGCCAGGCTGGCCAGAGCCCCAGCACCAGGCAGGATGGGACAACAGCAGCCAAGAGGACATAGCTGGCACTGCTCACCTGGGATCCAGCCTCCTGCTGTGACCTCATACAGCACCCTCCTGCCTGTTATTCCACCTGAAGCCAGAAGCTGCCCAGAACCTCAATGTCCTACAGCTCAGGGGCCACAGCTGTCAAAGTGTATCTGACTGCCAACTCCTCATGAGCTGTAGGCTCATGATCACGAATTTACTGGGAACTTGCTAGGGGGTGGGGAATGACGTCCCCAATGCCAACAGTCACCACAGAGGCCCCTCTCCCAGTGTCCAGCCCTACTCAGCACACCCAGACCTCACCCTTCTTGTTCTTCTCCTTGGTGACCACAGTCATGGACATGGTGGGTGTGGCTGCAGCCTCGCCACTGCTGGGCAGCCGGCTGACCTGGAGGGACCGGAAAGTGCACTTGAGCGTGTTTTTGGTGGTGGGCAGGTCCTTCTTCTCGGCATCTCTCTTCCTGTCCGCAGGCTGTGCTGCTGTCCAGTAGTCCACCTGCAGCCCCATCAGCTCAGCGCCGACGCCCTGGCTGTGAAAGGCAGAGGGAAGTGCTCACCCTCATGTTACTGCGCCGTAGAAGGCAAGGAGGTGTGGCTAGCACCTGCCCTAACTGCCAGTGGACAGTGAGAAGCTCTGCAGAGCTGACTGCCCACTTGTCTACTGGGATTCTGTTAGTACCCACGGCCATGTCCAGGCACCCTGCCCACCTACTTTCCTGACCTAGGAGAGTGACTTAATCAGAGGTGTAATGACTCATGAGAGCAGGTGACATCACAGACTCAAACTCTCCAGTTCAGCTGTGTTGTCTGCATTCTGTTCAAGGCCCAGCTGGTGCGGCAGGACTTAGCTCACTTGTGTGGGGCCTGAAGAGCTGTCTCTTGCACCTCCTCCCTCACCTCCACTTTTAATAGCCCACTCTGTTAAGCTGCTTTCAGGCTTAATGAGTCCAGAGTTCCTGTCCCTAGGAGTATTCACTGAAGACAGCTCTATCTCCCACCCTGCTCTATGGCAACTGCATATAGTCCCAAGCATCCCTCGTAGGACCTCCACCAGCCCTTCAGCAGCACCTGTCCACACTGCCCTGATAAGATGGGTAACGTGGAGGGTGGATGTCACCTAAGAACAGATAAAACGAGAGCCATGCTGTTTACCTGGGGGAGGACAGGCCTCCACTCACTGAAGGGGAGGAGGGTGGGGTAGGCGAAGCCTCCTTGGCCGCAGGAGATGTAGACACAGACGGTGGGGTAGAAGAGAGTACACTGGACCCTGAGGGGGCTGCGTCGTCCGAGTCTCCTTTGGAGAGGAGGCACAACCAGTGGTCAGACAGCCTTCTAGTCTGGCCCCACAGCTGGCTGGAGCCTAGACTGGAGAGGCAGCTCTCAGGGCAAGTAGGGTAGGCAGAGTAGCATTTGTGGGGAACAGGATATTCTCTTTCTTGTCTGGGAGAACTGCCCAGTTTGCCTTATCTGAGGCTTTGTGAGTATAGACGAATCAACAGAAACTTGCTGATCCTTGAGACCAGAGGGACCACCTACCCAGAGAGCCACATGGACAGTCCTCAGAGAGGGACGAGGTTACCTGATGTGGCTGAAGACGGTTCCACAAGTCCAACCTTCACAACCTGTGAAGTAACAGATGCTGGCTAGAGGCAGGTGGGGAGGCTGAATTGCACCCACCTTGAAGCTAATCTCGGGGTCGGTGCCTATGTTCCTGTTGCTGCCCAGCTTTTGGGCCCACAGATGAGGAAACAGATCCCAGCATCCTCCCATCTATGGGGTAGGGCCCCGCTCTTGGAAGTGGCAAACCTGTTGTGCATGTGACTGGCAAGTCCTAGACATCCATCAGATGAGGATGCTGGCATGAGCAATACTGTCGCAGAAACAGGAGCTATTTCATAGTAAGTATGGGCCAATAGGGAAAGTGCCTCAAGCTTGAACTGTCCAGCATGGTAGCCTCTAGCCACAGCAGCTATGCCAACATGGCGCGAATTGCAACGCCAAATTCAGTCTTAGCCATGTCAGGCGGCCATAGGGCACTTTTATCACTACAGAAAGGGCCCCGAATAGGATGCTATAGAAATGTTGTCATGGCCTTGGAGATCAAGTGTCATGCCGCTTTAGAGGCCTCACAGCAGGACACCTCTGCTAGAGATGGAAAGGCTGTGAAAATGAGACTGACTGAGAGTGAGCCTTACCTTCAATCTGGGCAGAGGGGAAACTGAAACCTCCATAATCCGTTTCATTTAGCCTATGCCAGGAGGTACAGGCCTGACTGAGCAAACCTGCCAGGCGGCTCATCCTTGTCTTGTAGTAGACACAGCTGAGCCTCTTCTCCTGAGTGCTGAGCTAGCTCTGATGGCCTGACACAACTCCATAGAAAAGGGGCTTACACTTCCATGTGTTCACTATGGGAATAAAAATCTCCCAAACAGAAAAATGCAGGAAGGAAGCAAGGGGGATCGATGAGAAGGAATTAGGCAGTCTTTGGTTGGCTCATAGGGTAAGGAAGGCTCTGGTACGTGTAAGGTAATATAAAAGCACTCTCTTGTGACAGCAATTTATCAGGTACATGATCTCAGTGAATAAAGCTGGCGATACTCACCCCAACAAAGGGAATGAACCTCTGAGAGGATTCTTCATCGGGGCTGGGAGCAAAAAACAGACTGTTAAGACTCCCTCTTGGAGCATCCCAACCCCAGCTGTCTTCCAGCCCAGGGACCCAGCCTCCTCATCCCTAACCCACCCTGTCACTAAGCCACATCACCTTCCCATAGGTACTCTTTGTCACTATAGAAAGGCCATCTGCCAGCTTCCAGGCCTAAGCTGTTCCACGTGCATGTCCCCTGGAATCCAGAACTGGGCCTTCTCCAGTAACTGGGGTTGGCCTTCCCAACACCCGAGCATGAAGGTTTCTTGCTCCATATCTGGTGGAGTCAGTGCCATCAATAGAGACTACCGCTTTGGCTAAAGTGCTGGGTATAAATGCTAGGTTCCAACAGTAACATCTATAGACCAAGGCCTGAGCAGAGTTCCTGGGACAAGCTTCAGTAGAGACCAAGATTAGTGACCAGATGAGGTATTGTCTGGACTTGACTCTGTAAAGCATTTGACAAAACAGTAGCTTGTCCTGGAATGCTACTCATGGCCTATCCACCATGAAGATGCCCAGGGTCTGAGATCAGGAGCAGAGATGAAAAACCATTTGTCTTCCTCCTTCCAGGTCTAGCCATGTGGCTCATCTCTGAGGAGGCTCCTCGACAACCAATCTGGTACCTAGTGGCCCAGTCTCCCACAAGGTATAACCTCAGCCTGAGGCACATGGCTCCATCAGCAGTCAGTGTGTCTTGCATCTCTTGGCAGGACTGGCTCTGGTGGTGGGCTGGTTCTACCTGTTTCCTCCGCACCCTTCCTTCCTGCCCTTCCCCAGTGGCTTCTGGTCTGAAGAGCAGGTTATCAGCTGGAGTTGTTTCTGCATGGTTCTTGGGACTCTCCTGTCTCGTTTCCTCATACTGGTGCCAGACGCCAGTGCATCTGTCGCAGGGGTGAGTATGTACGTCAGGTCAAGCACTGAGATGGAGAGGTGAGACAGATCTCTCTCCATCTAGGCCTGGGGGTGCCCCAGGGCTTCTCCCTGCATCTAGGCTTAGGGTGTCCTTTAAGTGTTTGAGTGCAACAAGTACTCCTAACAATTTTCGGCGAGATGCTTTTGTGGGAAACAACACTTGGGAGGGGTGTGGCTAGCCGCTTGCCTGTGCTGGGCATGAGCTTTCAGGATTGGCAGCCCATCTTCCTGGTGGAGCAGAACATTGTTCCCAGTGCTCCCACTCACAGTGCATCCACAAGAGACCAGTGGCCTATGCAGTGAAGGAGGTCTCTGTCTGTCCTCCCCACACCTAAAGACCTGGCAGATGTCTTGGACTATGCTAGGCTACTGGAGATGGCTAAATTCCTAGTCTCCCTTTCCTTTCAAAAGAGGGCAGTTTTGAAGAGAAATCTGTTCTCCCTTGTCCATTCCAAATGATTTGACTCCTGGCCCCAATCTGCCCTACCCCTTGCCTGTCCACTTTAGGCAACACTTCAGGCCCAGAAGGTTTTAGAAAGCAGGCAAGCACAGTGGTTCCCAAGGGAGGGCTCTAACCAACTGAGCCACACAAAGTCTGTAGGGCCCTTTAGGACCATGGCAGAGCAGCTTCTTATCTGTAGTCCACTCTAAGACACTTGAGAACCGAGCGGGGCTGACAAGCCATGTGTGACAAGACATAGGAGACACTGCAACATGGAGAAGCTACTCAAAGCCAAGCTGTATCTGGGGCCATGCAGACAGAACCAGCATAGTTACAGTAACTGTGACACCAGTGCCACATTGCATTCTGGGCCATGCAGATAGCACCAGCATGGGTGCAACAGCAGTGACACTAGCTGGCCAACCAAGAGCCTGGATGCCGAGGCAACCAGGGCCTACCGCACAGGTACTCATGGAAGTTAAGAGGTTTGGCAGTCAAAGAACTGTGCGTGCCCTTGACCTGTTCCCAAGACCTGCCATGATACCAGACACAGAGCCTAGGCCTGAGGACCCATGCCACCCTCAGACACCAGAACAGCAGCCCAGAGCTTGTGCTGTCCCAGAATGACCTGAGGGCTTGGCTACCACCAGAGGACAAGCTCCATTCCCAGCTTCAGGTCAGAGGCAAGCTGGAGCAGGTACCTCCTGGCAGAGCTCTCAAGGGAAGGCCAGGCAAGCCTGGGTCTTCGCTGGCTCCTTGCAGGCACCTGTGCCCACCTGGTGCCGGTGTCACTACTGTACCACAGGCAGGAGGAGTTATGGGGGACAGCGTCTCCTCAAGCCTGATTTTCCCAGGTATCAGTACAGCACAGGAGAGCATGCTGCAGGCTCCTCCTGTCACAGCCGGTGGCACAGGCCAAGCCTCAAGACAGGAGAGAGGTATGAAGGCTGGTCTTTCTCTAACTCAGGGGCTTGTTTAGCAGGACAAACTGGTACTCAAGGATCGCCTGTGTGTCCAGCTGTTAAGATAATGAGTAGCACTACCAGCAATGAGGATCCTGGACTCTGTCTTGGGCAGACACTTTGCGGCAAGTGTGGCAGACAGTGGGGCAGGACTCTCCGCATTGCAAAGGATAGCTCTGAGGGTACCTGAGAGTAGCTCAAGTTTTCAGAAAGTGAAGCCTTCCCACGGAAGAAAAACAATTTATTCCTATTCAGGGTCCTCACAAGCCTGGCTCCCCAAGGAAATTAGAGAAGATATTACAATCTCCTCTCTGTGCCTCTGTTGGCCCCGGGAGCTGATTCTATAGTGCAGAAAGTGCCAAGGGCACCTGCCACACTGTGCCAGCTCCTTCACCTCCCACCTCCACACTCTTACCTACAGGACCAGGACTGGTGGTCCCGCCCATCTGAGGCTGTGTGTGGCCAGATTATTGCTAGTGTTAGGTGCTGGGAGCAAGGCCAGCACCAGTGCTCAGCACAGGCTTAGTTTAACAAGAGGCTTTAGAAGCACAAACTGAGGTTAGCTCTGTAGACACAGGGCTCATCTGCCAAGTCTCCTAAGAAAGTGTTCATAGCTGCCATTCCAGGAACAGGGATGCTGCCCCAGGCATGAGGAGAGGCACTTGGGCAAGGACCCTGCTAAACAAGCCCTAAAGACCAGCCTGGGAACAGAGAGGGGATAGACCGGAGAGCTGTACCTCAGGGTAAAGTCAAAGTGAAAGTGCTTTTTCCTTTTTTGGAAAGCCACCAAGAGAGAAAACACACATGTTAGGACACTCAGGAACAGCAACAAGTCGTCCACACAGAAGAAGGAGCAGAATGGCTCCTGGTGGTCAGGCTGAGGGTTCCTGGAGGGTCTATGTGGTGGATCTGCCCCTGAGCACCAGGCAGTCAGGTAGCAAGTCTGGCCTCTGCCTACCTGCCACAGCTGATCAGCCTTCAACTCAAATATCTTTTGGTCTAGGGAAGGCGGTGTGTGGCATGTATAACTTAAAGAAACTCTCAACTTTGTTGTCCTTGGCTGAAGGGTCTATGTATCTCCTGAGCAGGGTGCTGGGCCCACCTTGGACACCAAGGAGGAGGCTGCCTTAGGCTCTGTGCTTTTAACTCTCCTTGACTGCATGTAGGCTAGAATGTGCAGAGGTCTGAGCCAAGACAGATATGTTGAGTTCCCTAAGTTGAAGAGGAAGGATCTAGGCCCAGGCCCAGACCCAGATCCACTCTGTCCAATCTCACACAGACTTTCTGACCACTGCCTACCTCTGGGTGGATGGGATCATGAACTAACTGTTCACCCTGAGGCCAAAGCCAGGGTCAGGGGACATGTGGGTAAGGAGCCATGTGAAAGGAACATGACCAGGTATGTAAGGACTACAGGAGCCAAGTGCCCTGTACTACATCACGTAGAATGTTAACATGCACAAAAACAAAGGTTCTGAAAACCCAACCTGGGGTTCTAATCTGACATGGCTTCATCACAGGCTCACGCCACACTCAGCTTTTTCATCCTGGCCTCTTGAAGAGTCTATCCCATAGCCTACAAGGGGCCAGGTCCTCCTCCAGGGGCCCCAGCCCTGGCCCTCCATGTTACCTCTTCTGCTTGTAGGTCAGCATGGCCTCTGCGATGGGCAGCTGGTGAGCACAGTTGGCTCCTGAGATGTACTGCGTGATGCGTGACACGATGTCTGGTGTGTCCTGCACTGCACAAGGCAGAGGTGGCAGAGGGTCAGCATGGCGCCTGGGCAGGTTCTGCTGGGTCCTGGGCTGTGTCCTAGGCACTATGTTCTGGCTTTTCTCTATCTCTTCTCTCTGCCAGCAGCCTCTGGCTCAAGTGCCCATCCACAATGGTCCCAGGTGAGGATGGCAGGGTTCCTTTTCTCCTTCTCAAATCCTGAAGGCCTGTTCTGGAGCCCTGTGCCCACTCCTTTCCAATAGCCCCATACCCCACAGGCTAAAAACTCAGGCTGGGTGAGGGAAGACCCAGAACCTCCCCTCCCACCCCACAATCAAGTGTAAGAGATGGAGTCTCCAGTGGAAGGGACCCCTTTCTCCAACGCAAGGGGCTATAGATGCATGGGAAACCCCGTGCCCCAGCACAGGCCTCACCACTGCTCTGGGCTTCCAGCTTGTTGAACAGGTCTCTCCAGGCCAGATCCTGGAAGAAGTTGTTGTAGCGGTAGTCCACGGAGCCCAGGTACCTGGCCACAGGGTGGGAGCCTGGGACCCAAGGAATTCCATGAGCATGCGGAGTTGCCCAACCCCATACCACCCTCCTGTCCTGAACCACTCGCAGTGGGCTGGCAGAGGCCTGCAGGAGGAGCTATGACAGTGTCCCCACTTCCTATTGCTCCACCAGGGAAGGCAAATGAGATGAAAGAAAGCTCAGGTGAAGGCAGGAAGACCAACAAAGGTGATAAGACATGGGCCCCAGGGGAGGTACTGCCTTCACTAATGGCAAACAAATGAAGCCTGAACAGGTGTGTTGTACACTTTAAGGAACTACGAAAGCCAAATGGCTCCTGGAGTTCAAATCCACGGGACCATGACAACCTATAAAGACTGCTTTGAATTTTTGGTGACAGAAACCAAAGCTCATGTGGGGTGATCTGGTGGGGGGCAAGGACAATCCTGGAGCCTAGTTTGCTCTCTAACACATTCTACATGATTAGGACATTTATCAAAGGTAAGAAAAGAATGTGACAGTAAGAAGAGGTCTTACAGAAAGACAAACAGGACGGACATTGGATGAAGAAGAAAACAGGAAACAGGACAGGAGCCTACCACAAAAGCCTCTGAAAGACTCTACCCAGTAGTATATCAAAGCAGATGCTGAGACTCATAGCTAAAACTTTGGCCAGAGCGCAGAGAATCATATGAAAGAAGGGAAAGATGGTAAGACCTGGAGAAGATAGGAGCACCACAAGGAGAGCAACAGAACCAAAATATCTGGCCACAGGGGTCTTTTCTGAGGCTGATACTCTAACCAAGGACCCTTCATGGATATAACCTAGAACCCCTGCTCAGATGTAGCCCATGGTAGCTCAGTATCCAAGTGGGTTCCTTAATAAGGGGAACAAGGACTGTCTCTTATATGAACTCTTTGACCACCCCCATCCCTGAGGTGGGAGCAGTCTTGCCAGGCCATAGAGGAGGACAATGCAGCCAGTTCTGACGAGATCTGATAAGATAGGGTCAAGATGGAAGGGAAGGAAGATCTCCCCTATCAGTGGACTTGGAGAGGGGCATGGGAGGAGATGAGGGAGGGAGGATGGGATTGGGAGGGAATGAGGGAGCGGGACTACAGCTGGGATACAAAATGAATAAACTGTAATTCATATAAAAAATAAAAATTTAATTAAAAAAAAGAAGAAGTCTTACAATACAGTCTAGTTACTGGCTGGCCTGAAACTTTTCATCCTTAGCTTCCAAGTGCTAGGGTGACAGGTATGATACTATGTCTGGCACACATGACTTTCCAAAATAGTGAAAATAACAGAAGCGTGTCATATTGGCACCTCTACCCTCACCGGGCTGTGCCCCTATCTCTGAGGTCTCCCAGGTTTAGTCACAGGTGCCAGTAGCCTGAGGCCCCTCACCCAGTGGGATGATGAGGAAGCGCATGTAGCCGAGCCAGTCAGGCGTCTTGTGAGACAGCTGCTCCACGAAAAGCCGCAGGATGGCGCTGAGGTAATGCTGTGCTCCTGCCACAGCGATCTTCACAGGGGTCGGTGGCTGAGAATTGCAGTTGCAGCTGCGGTCCCAAGAGGGTGGGGCAGAGAAGACAGATGCCTCACTGTCTGTGGCCCAGGATCACCCTGCTGAGGTCTGGGAAGCTGAGGCCCCTAAGATGCAGCTGTTCTTGCCACACAATCCCAAGAGCTACCAAACCCAGGGTCTCTACCAACAAGAATTCTAAATATGGGGGCCCTGGATAGGCCTGGGCCAGAAGGCTGTGCTCAAGATCTCTGCTGGGACCACCGCAAGTGGAGGCAGACTACCATAGGCTGCTTCTTGCCCTCACCACGCCGAGTGATTCCTACTGGAAATCAGAGTAAAGCTGTGGAGGTCTATGGGCAGCATATCTGGAACCCTCCACGATGCTCAGGGTCAGTTTTCCCCGCCTTTAAGTGGCAGGCAAGGCTGGGATGTGAGGCAGGAAGGGCAAAGGGTGGAGCCCAGGTAAGGAGGGAACAGCAGACTCACTATCGCTGTATCCGAGAGACAATGGTGCTGAAGGCGGCCTGCACATCAGCAGCGGAGCATGTGCACACCACAGGAAGTGTGTGCTTCTGCAGGACATCTGAGAGGAACTAGAAAGGGACAAGCTGACAATGACCTTGGTGTGGTGCCTGCTAGTCCCCATCTACTCTTATCACAGGTCCCACAGGGTCCACAAATATCCAGGCAGCTCTGATGGTCACCACCCCTCCACCCCCGGCATGACTGGTGTCCCTCAGGCCTTATGAGCACTCAGTTCCCCAGGAGATGTCAGGGTACATGGCTGTACCCCTTACCTGTCCCTGCCAGTCAGAGGTGTTGACGAGAATGATATTCTCAGGGAGTTGGTCATCAGAGATGAGGATGTGATTCAGTTGGTCATACACAGTTTTCCTGGGAATCTAGAGACACTGAGGTGTCCACACAAGGAGACACAGCACCCATGCCTTTCAACCCCCAGCCCTGGGCCTCAACACTCCATACCCCAAGCAGGCATGGAGGCTGAGAGCAAGTAAGGAAGTGCCTAGGCATAGAGTGTCCACATGATGGGTGGCTCTACATCCAGGAAGAGTCACAGGGTGGCAAGAACTAGCCCCAGGGTCAATAGGTTCCCTGACAAGAGGACCTATGGCTGTCTTCTTGTCTGCAGGGACTTTTATAGCAGGCCCTCCAAGTTTGCCCAGTCCTCAGGGCTCCTAGGCTTCTTTCTGCTCTCTCTGGGTAGCATCCTCCCCCAGACCCCAGCCTAACCTGCAGCTGGCTCCTTGTGTCTGGACAGCGCTCGTTGTCTAGGCTGTTGGCTCGCTCATTCTGCGGTCGAGCTGGCTGTCGCTCCTTCAGGGATGTGCTCCGGCCCCGGCGGCCGGCTGGCTTTGACTCTGACCTGCTAGAGACCAGGAAAGGCAGAGGAGAGCAGCTGGGGTGGCAGGCTAGATGTTCACTGTAGGCTGCACGCTGTGCTGCCCCACACTGCTGCTGCTATCCCTACCTGGCAGGTCCCTCGATGTGACACTACACTCTCCCCAGCACCCTGAGCCCTCAGCAGCATGAGTAGGTGGCACCTCTTGGGCACCTCTTAGGGTTGTAGGCCAGCAGAGGGCCAGAGGTAGCTGCTAGTGACAGACTGGATCCGGGTCCCACCTGCACTTTCTGGAGTTGGCCCAAATAGCTGGTTTCCCACAACCCTTCTCAGCACAAGGCCACACCTGGTGGAGGGGATGACAAGTGACTCAGTCTTGGTGATTCTTCCACTGGGCGGCAGCTTCTCCGTGAACACATCCAAGGTAGAGGTCTCAGACTCTGGACTATCCTCAGCTTGCCCTGATGGTTCGCGGGGGACTGGCGTACTCTGATGGTGTAAGAAGAAGCCATATGCACCAACTGCAGAAACATTTACTATGCCTCTCCTGTCTACGTGCCCCTGGCTTGGGAGAAGGCTCTGGGTTTCCTCTGACATAGATCCTGCGTGAGTCACAATCAAATGCTGCCCGTGGAGGTAAGAGGAGAGGTAGTCCTCTCCTACAGACAGCTCTAAGAGACCAGCACTAACCTGCTGGAAATCACCCCGCACCTTATCCGAGAGACTTGAGGGCCTAGGTCTGATAGCAAGGTTAGGGATGCAGTCATCCATCTGAGCTACCCGGACATTATCCACGGAGGGCAAACCAAGGGCGCCCTGATCACCAGGCAGCCTGGTTGCCCCTGAGGATGGTACACACGTTTTCAAGGTGTAGGAACGAACGCAAAGCCCTCCCTGTGGAGTTCACTGTACATTTGAGGTCTGCTGCACATGGACAGGTGGACACACCCCACGCCTGCTTACAAGGGCCACTGTGTCAGAGACGCTGTCACTTGGCTGCTTGCCTCCCAGGGATCTCGTCTTCTCGGGTACATCCGCCTGGGGGTGATGAGACAGAAGTTGGGCTGTGCTGTAGAATGCGGATGGCCTAGCTGGGAATTCCCAGGCTGTGAGCTCAGGGTTCCTGGTGAGTCTCCTGCTCCTGGGTCGATCCCTGCCCAGGTAGGTACATGCTGGAAAGGCAGCCAGGACTCACAGGGCCAAGAAGGATGAGAACACCCAGCATGGTCCAAGGGTCTCACCACTGCACAGAATGGCCATGCTTACCGGGCTCGGAGGCTCCCTGTGGCTCCGAGCACTGTGGATGCTCCCTATCTCCGTCTGTGAGCTAGAGTGAGACAGGCCTTCGAAGTATGGCCTGGAAGAATGAAGGAGTAGATATTATTTCCCAAGATCGCCTATACACTGAAAATGAGGTTCAACCCCCTGCATACAGAAGGGCAAGCAGCATGGAACTCAACAGCTCACAGACAGAGCTACATCCAAAGAAATGCACTGTGGAAGAACTGTGTGACTGTACATCCATTCCTGAAGGAACCTTATCCGATGGTGGGATTCTGGAGTGACTGAACTGCAGGTGGGTGCAGATCCTGCAGTGGCTATAAAGTCTGCAGCAAGAAGCCATGTGTTTCCAGGGCTTGTGAGGTGACTCCTGCAGCTAAACCCTAAGACTTGAGTTTAATCCTTGGGACCCAAATGGTGGAAAGTGGAGAAGTAACCCTAGCAATCTGTCCTCTGACCTCCGTCCTCACACTGTGGCACATGCATGCTGCGCCCTGTGAAAAATGCAATTTTCAAAAAAAAAAAAAAGAGAGAACCACTTCTGCTTATGGCATTCCCCAAAGGTGGGGCTGCCAACAACACAAGGACACTGGGTATCAGCGCTGGATGCCTCAGTGCTCTTAATGGGATTGCCCCTTGTGGCGGTTTGAATAGGAATGGCTCCCACATATTCAGGAGTTTGAGTGCATGGCCCATAGGGAGTGGCACTATTAGGTGTGGCCTTGTGGGAGTAGGTAGGTGTGGCATTGTTGGAGGAAGTGTGTGTCTGTGGGGACAGGCTTTGAGTTCCCCTATGCACAAGCTATGCCAATGTGGCACACAGTTGTGCCCTTCTGGTGCCTACAGATCAACATGTACAACTCTCAGCACCTTCTCTAGCACCTTGTCCGCCTGCATGCTGCCATGCTTCCTGCCATGATAATAATGGACTAAACCTCTGAAACTATAAACCAGCCCCAACTAAATGGTTTCCTTTTACAAGAGTTGCTGTGGTCGTGATGTCTCTTCACAGCAATAAAACCCTAACTAAGACACCCATGTTGAGAACCCGAGCTCTACAGGCAGACTTCAGAAATCAGAACAGTCTCAGCAGCACAAGGGCATCATGGGAAGGCCCAGAACAACTAACACATTCTAGATACATTCAGACTATTCTAGACCAACACAGATGATTTGACATCAACTAGTTACTTCTAACCAACCCTGACAAAGTCACTTCAGACTAATGAGAATAGTCACGACTCTAGATCAGCTAGGCCAATTCCTGACAATCAGATCAACCTGGATCAATGTATCTGTCTTTAGCAGATTAAGTATGAGTGAAGAAAAAGGAGATGGGCAAAGTATAAAACCAAGAGATGTTAAGGAATTTAAGTGAAAATAGATGGCAGGATATCAGCACGTCCATGTGGGTGATAAGGCTCGTAGAGACCTAGACATGCAGGATGTCTCCTGTGTGTGACACCCAGGATCATGGCACCACAGTGATCACACTTCACCCCAGAACTACAGGCAGCAGTAGTCGCAGGCCAGGGACTATGCCACCATAGTTAATGTCATGGGGTTCATGATGGGGAGGATGTGAACTCTGGGTGGATCCAATGTGACCCCAGCAGAGGTCACACGACAGCAGAGAACACACTCAAGCTTGAAATAAAAGGCATGAGGCAAGGACTAGTGCTGAGCCAGGAGGACCGACGTGGAGGAGCACAAGAACAGCGGCTTCCCTGACCCAGAGGACATCCCGCAGAACAGTGGCTTCTAAAACCCTGGCCTGAGCCCAGCACCATATACATAGAAAAAGAAACAGAGGCCTGAGGATGGCACCATAGAAGTGGAAACATACTAGATGTTGGAATTTATTTATTTATTTTTGAAACAATGTCTTATTAGAGAGCTCAAGCTGCCCTTAAACTCAATTATTTAAGTTTCCTAAATAATGAGATTACAGAAAGGCATGAGAAATGAATCCCAGCAGAAATAAATTAACTGTTAGCAACACTAAGAGTTAGGGTTAATTCATTTCAAGATACAAGATACAGGAAACCCAAGTTTCTTGCATGTGCTTCTTTGTATTGTCCAGGTTAAAAACTTCAAAATGAAGGGTCTATAACTTTCTGGAACATCCTGAGCCTCCCTGTCCTCAGTAGCTACACCAAGACCGAAGTCTATGTGCTCCCTGTTCTGAGGACTAAGCCTCCCAAACCCCACACACCTACAGTACATGTGTGTGGAACCACCTGCTTTCCTTTTTCTCTTTCTACCCTAGGCCACGCTTGGCCAGCTGTCCTCCCAGCTGAACCAATGAGGGGCGCTAGCTGGGTCTCCCCTCTGCTGCCTGTACAGTAGAGCCCAGTTTCCAGTATACCTCAGGCTGTTGGCAGTAAGGGCACCCTGGGGGCCCTCATTCCTCTGCAGCCTGCCTCAGGGACCAAGCTCTGGCCTCACAGAGAACCTTCCAGCTCAAGCCCTTTCCCCATCTCCAAATGGTTCTGCCTACTTCTAGTTCCCGATAGACGTGTAAACTCTGATCTGTTCCCATGGTTTACCACTCACCCTGAGAAATACTCTACCCAGTGAAAAGATTCCAGACCTAGTTCCAATGGGTCAGGAATAGGTATGCTCTCCTACACCTGCCTTTCTACAAAGGCACCGTTTTCTTCTGGCTGTCAGTGAAAGCCAGCTGGCTCTGTCACCCACTATAACCCTGAACTCAGCCCCTGCTGCCTCCTCTCAGGATATCCCTGGTTTACCCTGTGAGAACCTTCCAAGCACACAGTGCCACAGGGTTAAACACAGGTCACCATCACAGAGCAACCCAAAGCAGCCCTTTTAGGTGCTGCAGGATGTTCGGAGTTCCTTCTGTGCAGATGCAGACATATCGGAAGTGACAGTCTCCACCTGGTGCGACTTACCTGAGCTTGGGCTTGGGGGTGCTAAGGACACTGTCATCATCGTCCATGTCAGGGCCACTGTCACTGGGATTCTCCACATCCAGTGTGTCATACAGAAGATCCAGGTCCTCCTCCACCTCAGGAACATGTTCTGCGGGGTCCTGCTCCGAATCTAAGACCTAAAGCAACACAGAGGCCTGTGCCACTGCTTGGCTAACAGTTGATGGCTAACAGAGGTAGATGTACAGGAACACAGCAAAAGGGTGAACAGTACCACCAAACACTTAATTGCCAAAACATCCTATTTTGTTTGTTTCCCCCAGCCGTGTGGTGTGTGTGTGTGTGTGTGTGTGGGGGGGGTGTTTTCACAGGACAGAAGCTAATGTCAAATATTTTCCTCTATTTCTCTCTACTTTGTTTTTTTGAGACAGGGTCTCTCACTGAACCCATAGCTCACTGTTGACTGGACAACAAACCGTAACGATCCTCCTGTCCCTGCCTACCCGAGAATGGAGCTGCAGGTGTACACAGCATATCAGCTGCAGCTATTGAGCAATGCTAGTGCGGTGAACACTCAACTCACTGAGCCATTTCTCCAACATATTGTGTTTACTACTCTAATTTAGGAACTGGGTTCACCTCATAAGGACCTCAAGTCACCTCATGGAGCAATTACCCTTCTATGTGAATAGGTTTGCCAAGGGTGTGTTCAGAACACAGTGTTCAGACTGGCGCGGTGGCGCACGCCTGTAGTCCCAGCACTCAGGGAGGCAGAGGCAGGCGGATCTCTGAGTATGAGGCCAGCCTGGTCTATAAAGTGAGTCTAGGACAGACAAGGCTACACAGAGAAACCCTGCCTTGAAAAAAATGAAGCAAAACAAAAAAAGACCACAGTGCTCACATTTTGTGAAACACACATACAGTCAAAGCTGGGCAGAATGTGAGGTCATTCACCATCCCCTCAAACAAGATATGAAGTGCTTCTCCCCCAGAGAGTCCTCTTGGCTGGGGCAGAGCCACATTTTTGTTCCCCCAGGCAAACTGTGATCTAGGCTGTGCTCAGCCTGAAGGTGTGTTTCCCACAGAAATGCTGTCAGAGTAGCTGTGAAGAGAAATGTCTAAGCATCACGTTGAACGGCCTCCAGGAAGTGATTCAGGACTGAGGGTGGAGCACTCATGAAGATCAGTGAGCACTGAAAAGGAGTTGGGGGGAGTGGCTCCTCTGTCTTTTCCGTGAGGACACACACACACTGTCCTTCCCCAGACTCTGAATCTGCTAAACCCCGATCCTGGACTTGCAGACTTCAGAACCATGGGCAAGACACATCAGCTGTTCAGTACACAGAAAGATGATCAGCTACAGCAGCCCTAACAGGCAGAAACCAGCAAAAAAAGCAGGGAGCTACTGTATGCATTGGCACAACAGGATGCTGGTAAAAACAGAGTAGAGGCCAAAGGAAAAAGTGTGGCTCTGGAAATTAAAGGAAAGGTCACCGAAGGCAAAGGAGAAAAAAAACTGGTAAATTTGCAGGGTCTGGGTCCAGGTGTTTTAGGGAACATCAAACTTCCAAGTGATAAAACAGGGTATTCTGACAAAATAAACCTCCAGTCTGGAGAGAACCATGTGACTTGTCTTGACAGTTTACAATAAAATGCAAAAGGGAAGATGAGATAAATTCTGAAGAGAAATAGAGCTTAAAGACTTAGAAAAGTCCCAGCTAGAGCAGGCTGTAAAACTGAAAGTTGTAGGTGGAGAAGGCTCAAAGCTTCTAGTGTGTGCTGTTCTTAAGGAGCCAGAGTCCAGCTCCCAGTACACAAGTCAGGGAGTTTACAATTCTTCACAACTCCAGCTCGGGAACCCAGTGTCCTTCTAGTGTCCTTCTCTGCCCTCTGTGGGCACTACAGGCATATGCACAAACCCCCAAACAGATGTGCACATAAGCACACAATTAGAAATAAAGTACCCTCTAAAATTAAAGTATGTTTGGCCACAAGAAGTTTGAAGAGATTGGTATGGATGGCAGGAGTGAGGAGCTATTCAATGGAATGATGGGAGATGACCCAAAGATGTTTACATGCTGTCAGCTTGAGGGCAAGACAGCTTCAAGTCACTGTTCCTCAGCCACAAAGCTGTGTCTTCATAGGGCCCAGGCAGCAGTAACAGCCCTTCAGACAGCACAGGAGGGACAATCTTCGCAGCACCTAGCTATGCCAACTCTCAAAGTTTGCAGAGATGTGTCATTTTACATTGGTTGTGACAGGATGTGCTATCCCAGGCAATGAGCTGAGATGGAAGCTGGGCATGTCTAAAAGGCCCCACTCCAGTGGAGTACAGAGAAACCGCAGCAGCGGGTGCTTGGAAAGGGCAGAACTGCATTTTCTGGCCACAGTGCCAGCCCAGAAGAGCCATGAGGTCATACCTGCCATCTGAGACACTGTGGGGTGCACTGCCAGACCCTAGAACTCCAGCTCCAAGCCAACATGTCCCAAGAGCAAAGTTGAACCAAAGAAGGGTTTTCTAGCCTTAAGAGTCACTGTTTGGGAAACAGTCGGCTCAGCAGCTCAGAGCACTAGTTGCTCTTGCAGAGGAATGTAGTTTGGTTCCCAGCTCGTACATGGAGGCTCACAGCCATCTGTAACTCCAGTTCCAGGGGATTGATGCCCTCCTCTCACCTCTGTGGGCACCAGGCATATACCCAGTTCACATATACACGCAGGCAAAGCACCCACACCTACAAAATCAATCAATCTTTTTTTTTTTTTTAAGGAGTCAATGCCTGAGACCAATGAGAATAAAGGAAATTTCTGCCAAGTCTATGAACCTGAGTTTGATCCCTAGGTCTCACATGGTGGAATAAGAAAACAGATTCCAACAAGCTGTCTTCTGACTTCTACACACACACACACACACACAAATCATTTTCTGTTGGTTTTGGACTTCCTGGGATCAGTTACCGTACTTTCCTTTTCTGTTTTCCAACATAATTATCTGTCCTATGTTGGTCTCATAACTTACTTTGAAGGCATGTAATCTGGGTTCATGCTCATACCTGGACAAGTACTGCTCACCACATCTGACATAGGCAGTCGCAGATACTCTAATATTTAAGAATCTTAGTTGATGCTAGAGTGAGTGAAGATTTTAAGGGCTGCCAGGATAGAATGAATACATTTTGTGTGAGGGAAAGAAATAAATTTTGAGGACTAGGAGCAGGATGTTTGATCTGAATATCTGTATCTCCTAAAATTCTTATGCTGAAACTTAACCCTCAAGGTGACTGAGTAAGAGGCAGGCCTTTGGAGTAGCGCTGCTCCCGTCCACTGTGAGGACGTGAGGACGAGGCACTGCCTATGAAGAGCCAGCCCTCTCAACCTGCAGCTACCTGACCTTGACCTTCCAGTCTCCACAACTATGAAAAGCATCTTTTGGATGTAGAGGCCAGAAGCGGGCCCTGGATCCCCAGGACCTGCAGTTACAGATGGTTGTAAGCTACCATATATGTGCTGGGAAATGAACTTAGATATCTTCTAGAAGAGCAGCCAACCAGTAGTGCTCTTAACTTTTGAGCTGTCTCTCCAGCTCCTGTCTGTATTTTGGTTACAAAGACCAAGAAGTTTAGTTACAGCACAATGACTGTTTATGATAATCTACAGGGGCTACAGAGATGGCTTACTAGTTAAGAGCGCTGTCTGCTCTTCCAGAGGTCCTGAGTTCAATTCCAGACAACCACATGGTGGCTCACAACCATCTATAATATGATCTGGTGCCCTCTTCTGGCATGCAAGTGTAAAAGTAGACAGAGCATCATATACATAAAATAAACAAACAAATCTTTAACAACAACAACAAGATAATCTACAGACAGGTGACGCCCATTCCAGGATAGCTATGTGGGTTGTAAGCTGCAGTCAGTGCCTGTGCACAGCTCCTAGTAACAGTGAGCAGAAGTGCTGAGACACAGGGGAGCTACGGCTAGATGGTCTTCACGCATAAAAGGGAATGTCATAGGACAGATAGGGAACAGACCACATAGCTCGGCACCAATTCTACACAAATGTGGAGATTATTTCTATGAAAACAAAAAAGTTATTTCCCTGACCAACATCTAGGCTATTGCCTGAGTATCAGATGCCAGAACAAAAGCCATGTATGTCAGGTTTATTTTGAGACTCATCCCTGTTGCTTGGTGAAAAGGAAATTCCACGGTCAAGATCCAACTGCCTCCACCTGCAAGCCTGCATGGCCCCAGACCAGGCGGCTTGCTTGCTATGTGCCCACTTTCAGCTAGCCCAGGTCTATCTCAGATTTAGGGCCTAGAGGCTATTCTACCGAAACAGGCTGGTGATGTTCCAGGATGGATACTGGCCACACAGAAAGCCCTGTGGCTGACAAACGCCACCCTCAATACCTGCACATGTGAAAAGCAACTGTTGGTGCTGGGGCTGGATTGTGACCCTGATGGTCTGGGTGTGGCCCTTGCATTACAAGGATTCAGAGTGTGGGTGCATGCTTTGAGGATCAAACATCCAAGTGTCCCCTCTCTACTGTGGGCTCAGAATCTTAACAGTTTTGTGATTTTTCTTTGGATTGTGAACAAACTTGATACCTAAGACTGGGAACCAAAGAAAAGCCAAGAAACCAAAGATTCAAGGCATGTTGGCCACAGGACAGGCTGTGCACGACAGGAGGTGGGGCATGGAAACTCTTGTACCTTCTACTTACTTTCCCCCTATTGACATGAAACTGAAAACCGATGATCAGCCTCTGCTGGCCTTTCCACAGATGCAGAACCACCTGGGAGTTCAAAATTCCTGGCCTCTCACAACTGCCACCCAGGCTGGCAGGCAGAGGGCAATACCCCATAGACAGTAAGTGCAGAGACCTGGCCTGGAGCTTCAGTGGAGCGCGTCCTACCCAGCATGACATGGGCGGGGCGGGGCGGGGGGGAGGACAGTGCCTTCAACAGCGGAGCCATGGCCCACTCACCTCCTCTGAAACTTTAAACCTGCGCAGCAGTGCCACCACCTTCTGCTTAAAGTTCTGTTGCTATAAGACAAGAAGCACAAGAATCCCACATCAGAAATGATGTGGGGAGGGGCTACATTTGGGACATAGCAAGGAGCTGCACTCTGGCCTCAGTCGTGAGAGACAAAAGGCACAGCTTATGCTATGAACTGTGACTTGGACGCAGCTTTGACATGCAGCCATGTGCACATTCTTACTGTCTGAAAGCACAAACTGAGGCCAGACTCAAACACACCTGGGGGAACTGACAGTCCACACCCACTGAGGGGCAACCAGGGAAGGGCACAGGGTAGCTCTGCAGTTCTAGAAGCTTCCACAGCCCTTTCCAGGCTCTCTGGCACTGTCCCACAGCTCCACCTCCTGGAAGGCCCTGGCCTCATCCCAGGAGGAGACTGCCACCCTGTGGGAGGCACTCAGGAGAGCACAGAGAGGACAGACAATGGAACCTGCAAGCTATGAGCTCAGTCAAGCTGCTCACACTGTTGGCTGCAGCGCCTCTGCTCTAGCCACTGTCCTCCAGGTACTCTCAGCCCCCTTACAGAGCTGACCCTAACGGGAAGGGCTCTTCCCACACGGCTCCTCAGGCTGCCCCAAAAGCTCCAGATGCTGCTGCCTGTAGTCAGGGGAGGCCCAGTTTGTATTCAGAGTGGCTTCCATACTGTGTCCACTGTCTGCCCACAACCTCCTTATCACACCTGCCAAAGACTGTTGACAATGCTGTCCCTGGTCAGCACTGGCAAGGGGATAACCATGCCAGTCAGTCCTGCAGCCCAGTGCTAGGCTCTAAGGATAGCACCAGGGGCCACTGATGGTCACGGGGCAGGCTGAGAATGGGCTATAAGAGCTATCCCATGTTTCCTCCTCCCATGGGAAAGGCCTAACAGCTTAGTCTCTGTTGGGAGAACACACCACAAGAAAAAAAATGGAACTGGCCCCAACATGATGAGTCTGAGTACTGCAGTGACAGGAAAATAGCAAACTCAATGGCCTATACATGTAGGTTTGCAGGCTTGAGGCAGCTATCCCAGCCTTGCTCTAGAATCCCAGGGCTCCATGGCCACACAGAATTGGAGTCAGGGCATGTGGTGGCAGGAGAGTGACAGCCAGAGACATCCCTGTCTGACTTGTGTCCATTTTGACTCATAGCAGCCAGGTGCTGGTCAGACAGGGTTCTGGCCTGTGGGCAAATGCGAGTTCTGAGACTCTCTTGGGACAGGCTGTCCACCCTCTTGCAGGCCTTCCAGTGAGCCTCCTAGCCACTGCCCACCCTCCTCACCCTTCCCCAGTGTTAGTAAAACTCATTTCCACCGACCCTGGTCATGGACGTCGTTCTTACTATCGAGCGCCGCTGCTTCTTGGGTTTTCCCACATCAAAGTCATCCTCGTCAAGATCCTGTGTAGACATGACAGCACCTGAGACCACGTGCCCGAGGCCATGGCACCTGCACAGCAGGCCCACCCCATCGCAGTGTGAGGGAAAGCATCACTCAGCAGCCAGCTCCTAGCACTCCCAAGCCCTGCAGAGATGCCACTGACACACCCAGCCCCAGGAGGAGGCAGTCAGGCATCACACATCAGTTCCTCTACCCTTCTCATCCAGTGTGGCACTGATATCAAGAACCATGCCCTGTTCATATGGGCTAGCACAGGGAAGTCCCCTCCGGTCCCAAGCCTCTTATCTATAGAGGTGGAAGTGGGAGCTGTCGCCTGCCTCCCCCATCTCAGGCTCAAATGGTTACCTGCCCTTGTACAGCATCATCACTGGCTTCTTGCTCAGAGGAAAAGCTCTCATACTCCTCCTCAGAGTAGTTATCTGTGGAATGAGCACACAGAAGGGAGAGTACCTTTAGATTCCACCTGATGCCATGGCAATGACGTGACAACAGAACCACAGGTGTCCCCTGGGAGCAGAGGGGAGCTGTAAGGAGGGAGCCCTGTGTAGATTAGGGGAACACGAGACACCAGTGCTGTGGCTCTGAGCACCAGGGGCCTTAGGGTAGCAGGCCATATGGCTGTGGGGTTGGTGGAGCAAGAGAGCAGGAGAAATACAGTGACCCCAGCTGTGATGGCAGTAGCAAGTGACGGCTGCCAAGCACCTGCCCCACACCAGTGTTCAGAGCATCAAAGGCTGCATGACAGCCCCCATGACACCTGCATACTGAGGGTGCACAGAGCTTGTGACTGAACTTCAACAGCACACAGGACTCTTCCCCAGAAGCTTCTAGAGAAAAACCCAACAAACACTTCACATCCCACCCTGCCTTCTCCAACCACAGTGGGATAGCCCCCTACACATGCAGGCCAGAAGTGGCATGAACAGAGCCAGGCAGAGGACGGAAGGCGCGTTACTCACCTGTGGACTTGGCCTTGGGGCCAGCCTGCATTGCACTATCCTCATGGTCGATGGGCTGGCTGGACAGAGAGACGATCCAAATCTCAGCCACCTTGACAGAGGCCTCTTTGATGCTGCTGCAGAGGCTCAGCACCTGGCCGCCCTCAGAGGGGTGCTGCATCACCTACAGGGTATGGCTCTAGACATCAGGAGGGCTACACCCCCAGAGAGTGCCAATATTCACAAGCAGGGCACCCCTAGCAGAAGGCTGGGAAGGAAACCTGAGGAAGCCCAGGGACCGTAGACTGCCTGAGTAGGGAGGTCAGTGCCAAGCTTGGTATTTCTGACTACAAGCAGATAGAGGAATTTATCTATAGACTAACCAATTCTGGCACCCCCCCGGTGCCCCTTGGACATCACTAAGATAGTTCCTGGCCCCCATTAGCCTCTGTCTACTGTGCAGCCTGAGAAACCAAATGTCTAAAGACCCATGTGTATAGAAGTCAAGGAGAAACAGCTACCATGGGCCATGTCTGCAAGGGCACAAGGAGCCCACCGGACCTGGCTCATCTGAGTGCCAAGGCCCTGGCACTATTCTGACAGACTTAGCAAGCCAGTAAGGGCAGCAGGAGGCAGTACTGACCTGGCTATTGTCCTGGCCCTCACACTACCTCAAAAGCAGGCACAGATGGCAGATCTGGTTCTGACAGGGTCTCTGCACATGCAAAGCTGCTTTGGGGCCATTTGATCAGACTTAAATGCTAAAATTTTATGGATTAAAAGGAAAATGGAGAAATGGAGGCTAAGCATGGTGGTGAATGCCTTTAATCCCAGAACTCAGAAGACAGATGCAGGTGATCTCTGTGAGTTCAAGGTCAGCCTGGTCTACAAAGTGAGTCTAGGACAACCAAGGCTACACAGAGAAACCCTGTGTCACAACCTGGCTTGCAGCCAACATTCCAGCCTCAGGTAGCCACCAACACAGGTGTACCTGCCCCAGACACTAAATCGAAATCCAAAAGAGGAAAGCTCTATGGCTCAGGGACAACGTGGCCATTGCTGAACTGCTCTTCTCCCGGGGCTATTCCTTTAGCTAATGAAGGTCCAGCTGCTTAGCTCCAAGGTATCATCTAGGAGCCTGTCCTCTCTCCTCATAGTCCCCCCAGAACACCAGGGCTTCTGGGAGACATGAGAGTTTCTGATTGTTGTCCTTCTGAGGTGCTTTCTGCTGGCACAGCCCATCTGCTCACCTGAGGTACTGGGGCGGAACAAAGGAAGGGGGCATCCTGAGGAAAAACCTCAGGAAGGAGCCTGAGACAGGCAGCTCCAAGCACTCTTCTAGGGAGTGGAGTACAAGAGCAGCCATACTATGTAGCAAAGGACTGGGGACCCGAGAAGAATCCACAGGGTAGTGCCACAGTGGAGCCGAAACTTGTGGATTCTCTGAGGACATGGAGAATGGTCTATCAGACACATAAAAGAAATCTGTTCAGAGTGTTCTGGAGCCCTGGACACCAGCCAAGAAACCTACCTCAGCCATGTTGATAGAGCCTACAGCCAGTGTTTTATAGCCCAGGATCGTCCTGTTCTTGTACCGCTTTCTGCGCTGCAGCATGATCTGTAGTTTGTTGCCTTCTCTCTTCAGGAAGTGGGGATACTGTGGACACAAGCGAGCTTGCTTGAGGCCTGCTGCAGCAGGCATGATTAACCACATAACTGTAAGGTCTCCGAGAAGCACCTGCTACACTGCTGAGGCCTTCCAGGGTCTTGGCCCTTGGCCTTCTTCAATCCATCCTCAAAACCCTGCAACATCCCTTTGTTTAAGTCAGGGTTCCACTTCCACACTAGTGTAGCATAGCTGGTTATCTATTTGGGGTGGCAGCTTCTCAATACACAACATGGCCCCAAGTTTCTGGTCATCTCTTATACATGGAGCAGCTGGGGACCCTTTGTGGGTGACACTGTGCACTCCTTGGTTAGGCTACCAGGCACCAGTCCACCTCCGCTGCAGGCTGTACATGCTCAGGACTGCCCTTGTGCAAGGGCTGCACTTGTTGGAAGCAGTTCCCACAGGGCTCCCAGAGCTCACAAGCAGAGCTCGCTGGAGCTTCCAGAAGCAGGTTACACTGTAGTAGTATCAAAGCAGGCTGCTCATCCACACACTTGCTCAGAAGCCACAGGGCCATATACTTGATACAGGCGTATAAACTGGTTAATTACACCTCAGTAAACTGGATTCTCTATAGCAGTACACAAAACCCAGAGCAGATGATCTGGGCCGACAGTCTACCTTCTCCAAAAGGTGCGCAAAAGCCTCTGAACCCCGAGTTTCCACACAGTCTTGCCAATCTTTGCTAAACAAGAAAATGAAATGACCTTGTCTTGATGATATACTTGGTCTCTGTGATGCTTAATATTGATTGTCACCTTGAAGGATCCAGCATCACCTAGGAGACAGGCCCTGAGGTACTCCAGCCAAGACCATCTAGACGAGGTAATCCTTTGAGCACACCTGTGCAGGATTATCTTGATTAGGTTAACGGAGGAGGGAGACCCAGCCTAGTGGGCGGCTCCATGGTCAGAGGCTGGAGGAAGGGAGCTGAGCACCAGCAGTCCTGTTCTCTGCTTCCTACCTCAGGTGCGATGTGACCAGCTGCCTCCCGCTCCTGCAGCTCCAGCTTCTCCACCAAATGTGAGCAACATAACCCCGTCCTCCCTTAGGTTCGCTCTTACCAGGTACTTTGTCACAGCATGAAACAACTAACACTGACCACATCATCCTACCTTCTTCATTATGCGAAAGGGGCAGGGAAGTAAAGGTTTTCTAACTGTTTAAGAACACACTTTGATCACGCAAAGATCAAAGTAAGAAAGAACACAGGTGGCTCTGACAAGGACATCACCAGTATCCAGGACACTGACAAGGTTATGTGTACCCATCCACTCAGGAAACTGGTGAGGAATCGTGTGTCCCTCATACCCAAGGAACTAACCAGGGTATGTCCATCACTCAGGGCACTGTGGGGAAAATGAGCCCATCACCTCCAGGGCATTGAACAGAGCATGCCCACCACCCTGGGTACCAAAGAGGGAGAGTCTGTTATTCAAAGACTGACAAGGGAGAGTCCTCATTTCCCAGGTGCAAGGCTTACCTGGAGAGAGAAGGTCAGAGCTAGGTCAGTTTCTACTTGTCCACTGGGAGGCAGCACAATCTCATGCGATCTCAGGACACGTTTGGAACCCTGGAAGGAAACAGCCTTCTAATGTAGGGCATGTTAAAGTGAAGCAGTTAAGCACATCCTTACACCAGCACTCTGAACTGTCATGACAAAGGCCTCATTGGGTCGGGAGGCACCAGCTGGAATATTGTCAGGACCCTTACAACCTCATTCCACTGATAAGTTCTGCCCAGGAAATGGAAGGGCAAGACCAAGAACAGCTCCTGCCAAAGAAACAGTCACCAAAGCAGAGCACAGTCCACCAGTGGCCTCTGTAAGGCCAATGCACAGACACGGGTGTGTGGGGCCAACAAGGCATGCCACTTAAAAAAAGATACTGCCACAGGGACAGGAAGAGCAGGAAATGTTTAAGACAGGTTCAAACTGCGCAGGTGACACAGGGCACAGTCTGGCACAAAGCCAAGCAGGTAGAGACTTGCCTGCCTGCTTAGACGCCAGGAATCCACAGCACCTCCAGGGAAGAGTGAGCTCCCAGACCTTTACCATAAACAGAAGCCAGGCCTCCTTGAACTCCAAGCACACATCTCAGGGCAAAAATGGGAGGGTCCTGCATGGATGGGAGGGTTCTGAGTGACAGAGGAGACTCTGAATGATAGATGAAAGTCTTGCCCCAGGGCTAAGGCTCAGCACACTGTGACAACAGGCCTGGGGTGTGTCCAGTGCCACAGGTAGTAGGGTGGAGTCAAACATGGGCTACCTCAGCAGGACCCAGTACTTCTTGGTAGAGGGTCAGGGGTCAGTAACAATTGCTTGTCCCCTTTACCCAGGCACATACTAGCAGCCTACCACTTGCCCTATATATGCCACACACCTTGAAGGGCCACCAGGAGCTTCATCTGAGCAGTCAGGGGTCAAAATCTACATCCTGTCCCCTGAGAGTGGAGCTGGAACCTGGCAAACCTCAACATAGCAGAGGCAGCCCAAACAGCTAGCGGACAAGACACATCTAGTGGCCAGGGATGCTCTCCCCTAGAAGGGTGGGATCCAAGCTCATCCAGTCACAGGCTCTCCAAGGAACCTGTGAGAGGTAGCAAACACTGGGGCACATTCTAGTCCAGAGAGCCCCATGCCCTGTCTCCTCTTCCTGTTCCTGCTCAAGCCTATTATCCCGAGAAAGGCACGTGAAAAAGCTCTGGGTGGGTGGCTCAGTGGATGAGGGTTTGCAGGTCTTCAGGAACAGTTTAGGGACCGTGTGAGAAGTGAGGCTGGCCACACTCTGGGTGTGTGGTGAGGGGTTACCTGCATTTTGACGGCAATCACCACGGACAGAAGTTCCTTCTCCAGCTCCCGGAGCACTGCCAGTTTCTTCAGGGTCAGGCTACACAACCTGCAAGACACAGCATTCAGCCTTGCAGCACATTTCCTAGTTACACTGCTCAGATGCACAGAAAACTGCTTCAGCTGCCTTTGGGCGTCTCTGTGAGGATCACCAACCCAGAGGGCCTGGATGGAAAGGCCAGAGAAGAGACATCTGAAAGCCAAGCATGTGAGGCCAAAGAACAAGGAGGTTCCCAAAGGCCAGGGTGCTGGCACCAACAGAGTAGAGCTCTTACAGCCTCCTACCCCAGGCCTGCTGCCCCCATTCCATGCTGTCACCTTCATGAAGCAGGCATGAATTCAACTCAATATTCTGCTCTAAGGCCTTTGAGGTACATGGAGACATGTATTGCCTACTTTAAGGGCAGCCTGGGGACATGCCCTGAGGACCTAGCAAATAGTGAGCACATGGCCCCTGGGTCTGCTCCTGCAGAGCTCTATGTCTAACTGCTTCCTAAGTAAGTGCACACCTTCCTGGAGGCACCTGTGCCATCCATACCTGTGCACACACTCATACTACACACGTGTACATGAGCCCCAGGTACAACGTCTTAAAGAAAAACAGGCCCACCAAAGGTGTGCGACCTGGGCCCCTGCCTTGGCAATTTTTTCAGAAGCCTCCACAGTAGTCTATCCACACGGATCACTTTTCTAACAAAATCCTGCTCTATGACATTTGCTCAATGGGCAGTATAGGGTAAAGAAGTAGCTGTCCAAATTAAAGTGGCACTGGCACCAGGTGTGGTGGTGCATGGGCAGGTTTCTTTGAGTCCAGCCTGATCTACACAATGAGTTCTAGACCACCCAGGGATGCACACAGAAGCCCCATCCCAAGCAAGTGAGCAAGCAAGCAAACCATAAACAGTACTGGTTACCCAGCAGCACTTCACGTTCTAAGACCAACATGTGCCCAGAAGTCTGGGTTGGGCTTCAAATGGTAGGTCTGGAATTCTGCTTCCACACTGAGCTACCACAAGTCCTCAACATGACAATGAAGTAGCAAGACAAGAGACACAGCCTTTGTCTTCCTCCCACATGAAGGTAACATGCTTCTGTGTTAGGACCTAAGAACTATGTACAGGAACAGTGGTTCCTCAACTGCCCTTCCTACCCTGGCCGCAGGGAATGTCAAGAAGCTACCTGTGTGCCCTGGGAAGTGCTTATCACTTTCATGGGAAAATAGTGACTCCAAGAACCATACTCTAGGTTTAAGATAGGGACCCCACTGGTCCTCACTGACAGGGTGAGAAAGATGAGGCTGTCTGCACTGTACTGTTCAAAGAAGACAGACAAGGGATAGACAAGGGCTCCCTCACCGCTTTGTGCCCTGACCCAACATCAGGAGCCGAAGACAGTCTGATGTCAGAAGCTGTGCGAGCTGAGCAGCACAGAGACGCTCTGCCACAGGTGGGTGGGGGATGCTCCCCCATAGGTGGCTGGAGGGTGCTCGGGTGCAACACCTACGGTCACCAGTCAGAGCTACATACAATAGCAGCTCGTGATACGCCACCAAGGTCACCAGCTGGGCTCTGTGTGTAACTCTGGAAACCCACAGGACTTACTTTTACTATTTGGGATGCCATATAAGCTATCTCTTCTGGAATTTTCGATGTAATATGTTCATACCACAGCAGAACTTGGAAAACTATGGGAAATGAAATTGAGAGGTGACTACTATGACAGCAAGGCAACTAGAAAAACCGAGTTACCTGGGAAATGGGCCTGTAGAAACAGAGTATCTCAAAGGAAACCACAAAGTGTTAGGAATGAAATAAAAATAAAGAGAATGTGTCAGAATTTGTGCTTCAGTGGAAAGATTTCCACTGAACAAGCTAAGCTGCATAAAACAATAAGAAACCAGAATAGAGAGTGCAAACGGAAAACCAAAGAAGCACAAGGAAGGAGACAATAAAGATAAAATCAGAAACAACTTGAAATAGAGAAAATAAAAACCAGATGTAAGTCCTTTGTAAAGATTGAGAAAAATTAATAAAACCTCCAGCCAAAGATAAAAAGACAAAAAATTCTCTTTATCAGGAATAAAAGAGAGCGTAAGAGAGCTCAGATACCTCCTCCACAAGCAGGTAAGATATAACAATTCTTACTGCCCCAACCTCCAAACCTTACCAAGCTGAAACTGGTAACTGAACAGTGTCATCTATTAAGTAAAGTCAATGAAGCACAAATGCTCTGAAAAAGAAAATCCAGCAGGTTCAGACACATGGAGCAGTGCTTGCTGAACATGCATGAAAGCCAGCACAGGAGGCACGAACGAAGGGCAGAGAAAACCAAACAAGTTCACATAATCTTCGAGAAAGCAGAAAAGGAATACCTCAGCTCATGAGATCAGCATTGCCTTTCTATCAACACAGACAAAAACACTACCAAAAAGAAACTTACACAAGCTGGGTGTGGTGGCTGGCACTCAGCCACAGTACCAGCACTCAGGAGGCTGAGATAAGATGACCTGGGCCTGGGCTACACAGCCAGCCCTTGTTGAAAGAAGATACATAGTAAGGAACAGGACAGAGGAAGGGACCAGGGGAAGCATACTAAAGGTTGATGTCTGTCATGAACACAGATACAAAGTTCTTCCACAGGTATTTGCAAGCTAAATCTAGCAAGACAAAGATATTCATTAATACACATGATCAAGTGTGGATGAACCAGGAATGAAATGCTGGCTCAGCATTTGAAAATCATTTTAATTTACCATATCAATACACTAAATAAGAGGAAACACTTATATGTACCCTCAATCCAAATGCCGTGGTGTGGTTCAGTTTTCTCAGGTGCCATGTATTAAAGGCTTAGTGCCTACTGGGTGGTAGAACATTTAGAAAGACACAGTGGAAGACACACCCTTGAGGGGGACTGTGGGACCCAGACTCTTCCTAGGTTTGGACTTTTTTTTGGGAGGAGGTAGTTTGTTTGTTTGTCTGTCTGGTGGCTGCTAGGTTGCAGCTTTCAGTACAGCCATGTTCCCATCACGATGTGTCACTGCTCCGCAGGCTAAAGCAATCTCCACAACCCTGAGCCCTTTGATTCCTTAGATGCTTGCTATCATGCCAGAAGTCAACTGACACAGGAAGCTGGCACCAACTTGGGATATGGGGAGCCCTTTGGACTATGCAAGAGGAATGTGATAGTCTGCAGGAGCAGGCTGGAAAAAACTCCAGCTCACCAGGCAGTTCTGACATCCATGCTAAACACTCTCAGCAAGGCAGGCAGAGAAGGAATCTGTCAGTCTGCACCTGTCACAGCACAGCAGAGACTTCTCTCCCTTAAGATAGGGTGAGGCTGGCCTGACTGCTCTCACGCCTGTGCCTCACAGGGTCTCATCCTGTCCAGATCAACAGGCAAGGCAAGGCAACCAAAGAGACAAGGTCAGGAAAGGCAGAAGCAAAACCACCATTGTCTACAGACACCAGGATTGTGCATAGAGAAATCTAAGGAATGCAGGAAGGGTCGAGACAAGCTCCAATACGCCAGGATGCCTATAAAAAGCAACCATGAAGCACATGCTGCTCCCAATAGATAACTGGAGTCAAGTGTTCAAAAAGCATCTACTCATGCTACCTCTAAATAAACAAAATAGATCTAAAGTAAATGCACCCCCTGCACACACACACACACACACACACACACACACACACACACACACACACAAGCTAGAAACTCCAAATGCTGGGCTGGCAAGATGGGTGAAGGCACTTGGTGCACAAACCTGGCAACCCAAGTTTGATCCCTGAAACCTACATAAAAGTGGCAGGAGAGAACTGACCTCACAAATTGTCCTCTGATCTCTACACATACATCTGGCCCCAACATTTACAATAATATTATTATTGTAAATTATTATTACAATAATAATAATAAACAAATAAATTTATATGATTGTTTTTATTTTATGTGCATTTGCCTATTTGTATGTCTGTGTTAGGGTATCAGATCCCCTAGAATAGGAGTTAGAGACAGTTGTGAGCTGCCATGTTGGTGCTGGGAATTAAGCCAGGGTGCTCTGGAAAAGCACTTGGTGCCCTTAACCACTGAGCCATCTCTCCAGCCCTAAACAATTTTTTTAATTTTTAAAGGATGCTCTGAATGCTGATGAAAGAGCTCAACAATAAGGGAGTGGAGAACCAGGTTATGGGGTGTGTATAAGTTTTCCCCAACCTAGTCTATCAATTTAGTACTACTCCAGGAAAATCACAGGAAGGGTTGTGTGGTTCTGTCAAAATCACCAACTGATTTTAACCCTTACATGCAAAAGAGCTAACCCAACCAGAACAACGGTGAAAAAAGGAAAGTAGAGTCTAGTTCCCTGGCCCCTCTGTCAACAACTGTACGCAACACGCTGCCCACAGAGGGGTAGCAGAGGACAGTCAGAAAAATGGCTGATAAACTGGACTCCATCAAAACTTAAGACTTTGGCTAGAATGGTGGCTCCTACCTTTAATTCCAGCACTGGGGAGGCAAAGGCAGGCAGATCTCTATGAATTTGAGTCCAGCCTGGTCTACATTGTCAGTTTCAGGCCAGCCAAAGCTACATGGTGAGAACGTGTTAAAAACAAAACAAAACAACAACAACAACAACAAAACTTTCCTGTCCAAAACCACTGTTACTAAGACAGTTTTGGGGATGGAGAGCTGGCTCAGTGGTTAGGAGCATCTCCTCAGAGGACCCACGTGTGATCCCCAGCACCCACATGACAGCTTACAACCCTCTACAACACTGACTTCAAGGGCTCCAATACACTCTTTGGGCATACTTAGGCACAAGGCACACATGTGGTGCACAGAAAAACATACAGGCAAAACACCCATAACACACAAAATACAAATTAATTAATTAGGTGAGCAAAGTGTTTGAACAGCTGCTTCACCTGGAAAGACTCACAGGAAGGGGACCGACACTACTCACCCGGAGCTGACATTACTCACTCGTGATGTAAGTACAAGCAGAAAGCACCCCAGAGCTACTCACAAAGAGCAAAACCACCGACACCC